TCGATAATATTGTAGTTATGATTATATCATAAATTTTCTTCTGATCCTGCCTAAATTTACTAGGTTCATGTCTTTCGAGATAACATCTCTATAACTATGAATTCTTTTCTAAAGAGACTGTTGGTTTTGCTGCTGAGTTTAGTAATTAACAATATATTAAAAAGTGATAGTTGAATTCAATCCATTGATATTCGGTCAACCAATTCATATCCAGTGATGTTTATGTGTGGTACTTATTTATATAAAAGTAGTATTTTTTAATTTTTTAATGTATTTATGAAAGGAAAATAATTTGTAATCACGTAGATAGAGAATTCAAAATAACGCCATCTTTATATCTTTGTCATAAAAATTAGAAATTTGTTCAATTGCTTGCTATTTATAGCAATCAGACGAAATTCTGTCTAAATCATTGACAATGTTGCCGAGTACATTGTGATGAGTATTGAGAACATTGTTTTCTGCGGTTTGAAAGTAAAATTCTACTGAACATTACAATAATAAGAATTGATGGTATGTCACATTTCTGAGAAGAATATGCATTTTAATATTACAATCACCAGTTGTAAACGTTCAGTGATTTTCTTTAGTAGATTCTTTGTTTCAACCATTGCCAGGAGATCTTAAATTATTGTTGTTGTTGTTACAGTCATTTTTATAGCTAATCTGGGCCATTATTCAAAAAAACAATATTCTATATGATGTTTGGTGAAATAAGTTGTAAAACTATCACGTCAAATTCAATGCCATTGAGTCAAGAATGACACAAGTCAAAAACTCTTAACGTAAGCAATATTGTTTTAAAGGCTAATAAAATACGAAATCTCACAAAATAGCATATATTCCCTTCAATTTGGCAGGATCAGAAGAAAATTTATGATATAATCATAACTACAATATTATCGAAAGTCAAGAAAATAAAAGTAAATATCAATAATAGTAATTATAATGAAATTTTATAAAAAATACAATAATTCAATTCAAAATTATTTACTTTCTCCCTTCACTTCCTCTTCCTTTTTCTTCTATTGGTGATAATTTTAAAACTTCAAATATTGACATATCAAGAACACCATGACAGAAATATAGGATCATCAAAATTTCCAAATTATAAAAATGCGTGTTGCGGGGATAAATAAAGATTTAATATCATCGTACGTATATTGAAATGATGCATAAAGGATAATTATCACGTGGAATTTTACAAAATGTTATGTTTTAAATTTATTTGATTAATTTGTATAGAAACTATTTACTATTACTATTATTATTATGTTAGTCGTAACGAACGTAAAGAGGGTCATAGATAGTGTAACTGACAAATGTAAAGAAAGTAACTGCAACGGGAGAACAAGACATGTATCTAGGTATGTTCATGCAACGAGGTAGTTGTTTGTGTATAAATAAGGTTAAAAATAAAAATCATATGTAGTCTTATTTCATTATGATACGTTTTCAATAAATTGTAAATGAAAACACCTAATACTGTAGATACAAATGGCATGACTTTGAAATCACCTCAAGAATTAGACATTTTTTTATCTTATGGAACATAAAAATAACGTAAGAACATATATCATTCTTTTGCCTCAATTCAGAGTTTCATGTTTGCTCCTATGTTGGAATGTTTATTTGGTTCTAAAAATATAATCTTGAGATAAATTGGCAATGTTTTTATTCACATTCAATAAATTTTCAACAAAAATTTAATTTGTATCCAATGAATAGTCCTAGTGATGTAAATAAGATTAGAAGGAATGATAAAAGAAATGTTAGAATTAGGCTGTAACTAATGCCAGGCATAAAAATAAAATATGCAGTCAAAGATATAGAAGCTTTATTTGTGGAGCAAGCGGAAAAGCAGCTCATAAAGATATCACTAGATCAAAACAAGCTATTCATGCTGTTGCATGACCAGCTTTGTAAGAAATATATCTTGAGGATGATTTGGATAAAATAGGCATACATGTTTGGATTAAAAAGCATCTGGTAAAATAATTTAAAAATAAAAACTTTATTTTTAATATTGAAAGCATATGCCAGCACCAGGCCTATACTTAAATCTAAGTTACTTTCAATCAACTTTCCCTGCCTGGTCTCCTCAATTAAGCTTAAGGTAAATGGTTTTGATTAAATCATTTAGTCATCATTATTTATGATTATAACTGATTTGTATAAAAAAACAAATTAATATAATCATCTTTCAGATTCTCTAGTGATACAACAGCTACATTCACCTTAATGGGTAAACTCCCCAGTCCTCTCAACTCTCCACAACCTCCAATCTTTGGCGGATTAAAATATGAAACATTTAAACCCTTTGAATATTAAAAATTGATTAGATCAATTAAAAATACAGATAGATAATCCAACTAAATCGTCTAATAAAAAGAGAAAATCTATGATTAAAATTGTAATGGGATATCAAGACAATCATTACTATATTAAGGTTATGTGGGTGAGTAGTCATCTGACATTTCCCTTCGATTGATTTTTTATATGTATAAAAGGAACTTTATAGAAGCCTTTGAACTTTGTAAAAGAATCGTCTTATTTATTTATAGAGATAATATTAATAATCTTTATTACAAAATTGGAACCATTAATAGATCAAGTAGTGCAAAGGAAAATCGAAATGGAATCCAATCCAAAATTTGATAAAATAAATAGATATAGGAATATCAGAGACACTGTCCAGATAGCTATTGATAGTGAAGAAAATCGTCTTGATGATCCTATGGATGTTGATTATACTCTTTATAATCTCTCCAGGCAACTTCCAGTGGGTACTCCCAGAAGAATTGTGAATCAAACTAATACTGAATATGAAGAAGTTGATGAAGAATCTGAATATGAGGACAAGGATGATGAATATGAATATGAGGAAGAAACCTATACTACAAATTCTGTAAAAGTCTTGTGTTGAAGATAATACCTAAAAAGAAGATTGTAACTTGGGAAGTCTATGAAGCTACTAGAATATCTCATTACAGCAGTAAAGCAAGGCAAAAATCCATCTCATGCAAACACTTCTTTGAATGAGCAACAGTCCATTGAGAACACTTCTAATAATCAACCAGCTATTGAAAATGTTAGTGAACTTATGGTATTCAATATTCCTAATAAACCAGCTAGTGATGTAGTAACTATAAAGTGCAAAATTAATAAATTAAGTATCCCTAGTGCTGTCCTTGATGGTGAGACAAATTGCTCTATAATGTCATTAAATATTGCTAAAAAATTGGAACATGATAATGATACAAGTAGACCTACTTCTCTTGAAGGTGTAGCTGCTAAATCTGATACTATTGGGTGGGTGTACAATATTCCTGTAAGGGCGCTGACATATATTAACTAATATTTTAGGGGGTGGGGGTATAACAGAAAATCTTAGGTCACACATAATCTCATAAATAACGTGATCATAATAGCTTCAGTGAAAGATCTGCTGCATTTTTATAATTTTGAATGTAAGTGTTTTTAATTTGGGAATGTTCTACATGTAAATCAATTGTCATTACACATTTTTTGTCTACAGGATGATATGGCAATTAATTCTCACATTCTCATATACATAAATGCTATAATTAATAATTCTTTATCTGATATACATTTCCTTAAATATATTTTGTCAAAAGATTCACTTTTATTGTAATTGAGAAGAGAGAAATAATCAAGAATCCTTGAGTTTTGTTCTTAGATTTTCCTTTAGCAGGATGCATTGTTTGTAACTTTCAAATAAGTAAGTGTTATTACACTCAAAACCAAATAGGTTGTTTTGTCAAGAAATTGCCAATGCAAATCACACCCAGGAATTCCAAGAGATCGTAATATATTATAAAGGAAAATTTTTTTACTCCAATGTTGCTTTAAAATGTTTGATTTATTAATAAAATTAATTCTTTTTATTTTGCTTGTGCTTTGTTGATACCTAAAAGGATAAATGATTGTCATACACATGATCAAAATGTCTTACCTAGGGAAGTAAATGCTACTATTAAAATAATATATGTCAGTGTCCTAAGTGTTGGATTCTTCACTTTATTAAATGATTTTATCATTGTGGATGATAATAAACCTCACTACTTCTTGGTACACCTTGTCTTGATAGAGCACAGGCTAAAATAGATTTCCAGAATCAAATTCTTTATGTTGGTGACTCTGCTGGTTTAATGTTTAATGTACCTATCTCTGTCCATAAGGGTAAAGATAAAAAAAAATCGTAAATAATGCATCAATTGCCCATACTAAATCCAATAGATCTAAAACAGATCAAATATGCACAGAATGTGGAAAGAAGTTCATGTACCCATCAGGATTAAAATGTCACTTGAATGGAAAAAAAGTATCTTGTGGGAAACATAATATGGTACCTATTCATCTGATAACAGATGAACATTAGTTATACTAAGATTTAAACTTATGCTATTCATAAAATATAAAAATCATAATGTTTTTATAGCTCGCTAAAAGTTAGAAAGGAAACTGTAAAATGCCATCATTCAACAACCCTGGAAATTCTTTATATTGTGAGATAGTAAAACTTGGACCTATCAATTACCCGGTTAATATTGACCAATTAGAATGAATTTGCTACATAAGTCGTGTGATGCATTAAATATTACAACCATCTTTCTATATTAATATATTGTAATGGTTGCATCGCATATTGTGTAATGTTTATACTGAAGATCTTTATATTCATATTTCTGCAACAGGAGAGACCGTTCTGGGAACACAAAATTAACAGGAGGGAACACAAAATTTTAACCCATGCCATTTGTTGATCGACCAATTAAAATCGCGAATTTGATAAATGTAGAAATAAATATGAGTTTGATTCATTTTGTCAACAATCACTTCACCAACAATTGTTTCATTAAAGAATTTAAGAAGTTGGAAGCAACCATTGAAATAGTCTAATAAATTAAATTGTACTACTCGAAAATATATTTAAAGGGTTGGTTTTTGACTTGGTTGAAGAATAACTCTCCTCCTAACTCTTCTCTTGACCATATCTCTCGATATAATCAAAATAACCTTAATATAATGAATGTCAATGAAATGATTG